TCCGCCAGGGTTTCGGGACTCGCGCACTCGGCGCGCACGCGCTGACAACGAGGCCAAGGCCGCGGCCGCCCGCGCTCATTCGCTGCCGCCGGGCTTCCGCTGCGACGCGCTGACGTACAATGGTACAAGGACGCTTAGAGGGCGGGGCTTAGGGCCAGGTGGAGGTGGAGCTCCACTGTGGGGGCGGGGCTTTTTACAGCAGGCACCTGTGAGAGCAGAGTGGGTGGGGCCACGAGCCTGACTGGCTGGCTGGGGTAGTGCGGGGTCTGAGACTAGAAGAGAAAGAAAAAGTGTGTTTCCATAAATTGATTTTGAATGTTTTAACTTTAGAAACTAAAAAAGGAAAGGTCATACGTTCCCCTTTTAAACTCATTTTCTAAGCACCCAAGGAGCTGGGAGGCACTAGGTCGTTAGCGACCCATTGCACACTGTAACCCCACCCTGGTACAGAGGCGACCTTCTATAATCCCAGCTACAGTGGAAACCAAAGCAACCTGTGTAGAACTATAACATAGCAAGATCCCGCCTCAAAACACAAAAATACTTACAAAAAGCTTTTATCACTATTTGATGGCAGAATGTTTATGGAAACCATGACAGTCTGAGCTCCAGCAGTTGGCCCTTGGCCATTCTGGGTCTGACCGCTTCCTCTCTTTTGCTTAACTTTCCTTTGTTTACTTTCTGCTTCATTTCTTCTCTAAACTCAGCATCAAAACAGCAGCCCCTACCTGCACTTAATGTTATTCTAGACAATAACTCTGATGAGTTAGGTACACCACCTAACAAAGCAGTTTTACAAAATAATAGTAAAAAGAAAAGACTTTATTCAGAAGTTAAGCACCCTCAACAATCACAAACTTTGTTGAGAAGATAGGAAATTGAAAATGAACTAGCTTTGTAGTTTTATGATTTAAGTTAATTGAAACTAAAGCAATGCTAACTAAATATGCTTTATTTGTATGCTACACTTAGATTTTACGTGAGAATTTTCTAAGCTTTTAGTGAATCTTTTTTTTTTCTTCTTTGATTTTTCGAGACAGCGTTTCTTTGTGTAATCGTTTTAGCTGTTCTGGAATTCGCTTTGTAGACCAGGCTGGCCTCGAACTCGTAGAGATCTGCCTGCCTCTGCATCCCAGATGCTGGGATTAAACGTGTGAGCCACCACTACAGGGCATGTACCTATTTTTTTATTTTCTTTTAATTTATATATCTGTGGAGTGGGGGTAATGCCACATGTGTGTGAGTGCTTACAGAGGCCAGAAGAAACCTTCCAACTGCTCTGAAGCTCAAGTTACAAGCAAATGTGGTTTGGAACCACATGGGAACATCACCCTAACACCTACAGGAAAACAATTAAGCATTATCAACTGCTGAGTCATCTCTCCAACCCCCTATTTTTTAAATGGAAACATTACCTCTATTGATAGTTTAGGATTGCCAGAGACAATTTTATAAAAATAGGGAGAACAAATTCACCAACAATGAAGTGTAAAATTTCAGCACATGAGCTAATACCCTTCTCGGGCCTCCTCTTCTTTTGCACTGTCTCCCAGCCTTTTAACCCTTCCCTGGGGCAGCCATATTATCTTGGGCTTCAGAAAACTCTTCTGCCTACACTCACCCACATACAAAGGCATGCTTGGCATACACCGTAGCAAACCTGTGATCTAGGTCCGTCTGAGTCTCTACAATGTCTATGATCTTGGCCAGAATGCACACAGCTCACCGTCTCTTCTCTAGGTATATGTAGCTGAAGGAGAGTGGAGTGAGGGTAGGGTCTTGGGTTGGTATGGAATTTTGTTGAATAAATATTTAGGGCTCCATCAAATCTGAGGAAAGCAGTATTGGAAACACCATTGGATGACAAGGTGGTTTAAGTCAATGTAGGCTGGGTCCTGGTTATGATGATTTTTCTGGCAGATGTAGCTGGAAGTTTCTGTCCCTCTTGGTCCTACAGTTGTTCAGTTCCAAAGAAAACACAGAGGCTTATAGTAATTATAAACTGTTTAGTCTATTAACTCAGACATATTATTAACTAGCTCTTGCAACTTAAATTAACCCACAATTTTTATCTATGTTTAGCCACATGGCTTGGTACCTTTTCTCATTTCCAACTTGCTTCCTGTGAGTCTGGGTTATGACTGCAGATTGAACCTTTCCTTTTCCCAGAATTCTTCTAGTCTGGTCGCCCCACCTATATTTCCTGCCTAGCTACTGGCCAATCAGCATTTTATTAAACCAATACAAGTGACAAATCTTTGCATGGTGCGGGAGAATTATCTGTATTCTGTCAATCATATTTTAATAAAACGCCGATTGGCCAGGCAGGCAGTATAGGCGGGAAAACCAGACAGGAAGTAGAGGTGATGCAATGAGAACAGGAGAATTCTGGGAAGCAGAGAGGTTCCTCTGCCACTCCTGCGCAGACCACTGAAGAGGCAGCATGTAACTTGCCCAGCTGAGAAAGGTACGGAGCCATTATGGCTAACATAGTTGAGAATAATGGGTTAATATAAGTTATAAGAGTTAACAAGAAGCCTGACCTAGTGGACCAATCAGTTTATAACCTTATGGAGTCCTGTGTGTGATTTCTCTTTGGGATTTGCCAGCTGTAAGGTACCGGGCGGGAACAGATACCCAAACAAGTCGGCCCGTCATGTTACATATGGCGCCCAGACGTGGATAACTGAATCCACGGAAAGCCTGAGAAAGCTTGGGAAAGAATAGGGTAAAGCATATTTTCTTGGTAGCAGCAATTTCTCGGGTCTGCTCTGCTTGCTAGAGGCAAGCAAGTGCTCTCATCTAAGAGAGGCTTCCTGACTCAGCTTTAGCTGCAAAACCCTGCAGCTCATTAAAAGGTCCTGCCACAAAACACTTAAACCGTGTTGGTGAAAAGCTGAACGCATGCTTTTCGGTTTTCAGCCGTAGCAGGAAAAAAGCTGCACTGTTTTAAAATGCCAGCTTTCTGGGCTGTCCTGCCAGGGCAATCTCTGACACTTTCAGGCAGGTAGTCTGACTGAGTGTGGTCTGTGAGCAGAATGCTGCAGCTTGCTGGCAAGGACCTTGAAACGCCATTGAGTTGTGGCAGTAAACACAACTCTGGCTGGTACCTCAGCCACGAGGATCTAGCCATCAAAGCCACAGCTTTCATCCTCTTCTTAAAGACTCAAGTGGTCAGAAAAAGAGAGATATACAGTAAAGAGAGATTCAAAGAGGAAGAAAACCTCTAAATGGTTTACAGTATGTTAAAAATATATGCAGGATAAAAGTTAAAGTTCTTAAAGTAAAAAGAAAGAAAGAGAGTAGTTGGGTGTGGTGGTACGCACCTTTAATCCCAATGCCTGCGAGGCAGAGGCAGACAGATCTCTGTGAGTTCAAGGTGTGGTGTGGTAGCACACGCCTTTAATCCCAGCACTGGGGAGGCAGAGACAGAGGAATCTCTGTGAGTTCAAGGACAGCCTGGTCTACAGAGTTATTCCAGGACAAAGATATATACAGAGAACCTGTCTCAAAAGTTAAAAGTAAAAATAAAAGAAATAGAGGTTAAAATAAAGCCACATAAAGATGGAAAATACACAGAGAATCTTGATACTGTATGCTATTATGCTCTCTTTGAATTGTTTGAATGCTGAGGAAGGAGCAACAGCTGCTAAAAGACTTTTGTTTATAAATGCTGCTGAACTTACCCAAGATAGGTATTTTGAAAATACCTTGGCTTCAAAATTGAAGTCAAAAGGTATGTTACTTTGGAGAAGAGATTCTGCTTTTGTTTCCACAGAAAACGAGAGGCTCTGGATTTATTCAGAGTTAAGAAAAATCACCTTTGACCAAGGAAGGCCACCTGAAAAATCTCCGACAAGAATAGATGGCCCAGATGTCTGAGTTTTACATCCAGAACAGATTCAAGACTGCTGCCTGAGATGATCGAGACTCACAGGATACTTCAGTCAGGACTTGATTATAACTCTAAATTTTCTTTAGGTCCCCATAAGACTATCAGCACCCCCAACCAGCAGGAAGTAGCCTGAAATACTACACTCACATTCCCAACAAATGGATTATGGGTATTTTCCTTTGTTTAAAAAAAAAAAAAAGAGGGAAATGGTGCAGGAGCATTATCTGTATTCTGTCAATCATATTTTAATAAAACGCTGATTGGCCAGGCAAGCAGTATAGGCGGGGAAACCAGACAGGAAGTAGAGGTGATGCAATGAGAACAGGAGAATTCTGGGAAGCAGAGAGGTTCCTCTGCCACTCCTGCGCAGACCACCGAAGAGGCAGCATGTAACTTGCCCAGCTGAGAAAGGTACATAGCCATGTGCTAACATAGATAATGATAATGGATTAATGTAAGTTACAAGGACTAATAAGGAGCCTGACCTGATGGGCCAATCAGTTTATAACCTTATGGAGTCCTGTGTGTGATTTTCTTTGGGCTTGCCGGCTGTGGAGTACTGGGCAGGACAGAAACCCCAACAAGCCGGCCGTCATGCTACATTTACAGAGTACAAGAGCAT